TTAGTTCGGGTTACAAGAAAATGGGTGGAATAAGCATTTTTTAAATGGGCAACACCTGAGATCATGGGAAAGTCGAAAATGAAAGCCATAAGGCTTGGCCGCGTAGTTTCCCACCGATGTTAAAAGTTAGATTTTAAATGTTGATTTTAAAGACAGTCTAGTAAGTAGGTTCTCTCCAGTTTAATCACTGTTACAACACAATCTTCCCTCTTATATTTTCCCATACTCAGTCATACTTAGTTAACAGCAACAGTTGCGTTCCCTTTCACGCTACTGCCTTTTGAAAAGGCATGAATTCATTTCTTCCCTCCGCAGCTATGAATTTAATAACAATCTACATTGCGCTCTTGCGCCTTGTGTAAGCAATCAGTCTAGAACTCTGATTTTAAAACCATAAGTAATTAAAACCCACCTGGCTATCTTTCCTTGTTTGTTATAGCAATTCACGAAGAAATGGAATGTGTGTAGAGGCATGGTCGCCTAAGTAATGCAGTTACGTCGCATTATTAAAGTCACAATTGATCAGCAATAGTTGATATTGCATTGCTACTGAAATGTAGTCGTATCGCTTATTAAATACTTTGACACTTTTTGAACAGAAAATGACGTTTTAGTGTCATATTAAATTTAGGGAATATTTTGACGAGAACATAATTTAAATGCAAAATGCTTTTTTCTTTTTGTTATAAAAACATTTCTAATAGAAAAACAATTACGTTTTGTACCAATTAAAAAAGTTACCAAGAGCGTCCACAAACTTTAGAACTGCAGTATATATATATATATATATATATATATATATATATATATATATATATATATATATATATATATATATATATATATATATATATATATATATATATATATATATATATATATATATATATATATATATATATATATATATATATATATATATATATATATATATATATATATATATATATATAAGCTTGAATGAATAAGTTATACTGATACGTAGTTAGAATTTGTGTTCTAAATTTCCATTGAATAATATTGGTTGCTAGTTGGTTGATTTTCTTTAGTGCACATCGATACCTCTATGGGTTATTTAATGCCGAAATCTAAATATTTTGTACGTAATTTCATGCTTTCAGCTACAGATATTTTGTACATTATGTTTTTTCTTTGTTTAGAAATATATTGTTAATAATTTTTTGCTAAAATCTATTGCTGGTAATTTTACTATAAAAATGTATTGTTGGTCATTTTATTATAAAAAAATTACTGTCCATTTGTGTTTAAGGGTTCACTATTTGTTCATATCTGTGACGCTAACAGCTGTTACCACTCTGGGTCAGGGTGGACCAGGGAACAACAGCAATTAAGAGATAGTTCCCAAAACCTCTCTACATCAGAGGCCTTGCCTCATATCAAGGACAATTTTATAATGTTCAATCTATTTCTTTCTATATATATGATTAATACCCATCACTGAATTAAGTTCAATGACCAACATTATGTTGAAAGATAACTGCACTGTAAAATAAATAATAAATAATTGCTTTCTTACTTGAAAAGACTACAGACACACTGATAATCTTACATATACACATCAATCCATAAACACACACACACGCGCACACATGACTCCAAAATTCGCTTGAGGATGAAATGGAACTAATGTTTTTAATTTAATTACAAAATTAAATTCGAAGCTTTCAGCTTGCATTTTTGAAACATGGTTAAGAGTGTGAGCGAAAAAAACATTTTAAATTTTATAATATTAACGCTCTGTAAATTTACAGTGAGCACTATTTTCTAAAACTAAAAATACGAATAAGAACACCGGATTATATATTTTATATGTTATATATATATATATATATATATATATATATCAGGTTTCATGAAGAAAGTCTTTTGAAGTTGTTTTCGTAACAGTTTCTGACCCTCTCATACTGTAGACATGTATAGTCCTCAGGTTTTTATAATAGCGATTTAATGTTCATGTGCCCTACCTCAATGAGGTTATTCTATAGCATAAGTTTCCAAGGTCATATATATATATATATATATATATATATATATATATATATATATATATATATATATATATATACTTCCTTTTAGTTACCTTCTTGTAGACAAGTGGTTTCTCTGTTATTTTAGTTATTGTCGTTGTTGCAAGGATGAATATTAAATGTTGTTAAGGGAGTAAGGGAATTCTTAGCAGATACTTAAAACTATTACGTAAATCAACAACCCAATGCGAATGACATGAAAATGTGGCAACTAAAAAGCTTACACTGTATGTAAGACTGCCATTTCATAAATTCAAAGTAAACAGTTCCAAATTACAATTATCAAAATTGCAATTTTATCGTACTTAGTAGAATATAAAACCCACTTTTTCCCCCCAGACATCAGAGTTTCATGAATTCATAATGAATGCATGAAAAGAAACTAGTTTTGAACATGGATGAAGTTCCAATAACATTTGCTCTACTATCCGACAATTCTCTTCTTAATATTCCCTTTTGAGATGGTAGACAGGTTTATATGACATAAAATACGGTAATGATATTCGTTTCGTGCTTTGGGTCATTACGAAGATGAAAATGTTACTCGAGTGACCACAGTCCGAGATTCAAAATCACTTCCTCTTCCATATTGTCGTTTCACAGAGAAAATATTAGTTCTACTAGTCGCATATGGCTAGTTTCGACCTGTTTGCAGTTAAGGTCTCCTATTTGGACTAAACACAGTGGTAAACAAAGTTTACACAAGTAAATGACGGGTCGTCATTGTTAGTAAAGGTGAAAGGAAATGGAATAAATTTCAGCAAATCTGAGAGTGCTGTGCTAAAAAAATATTCCCAGTTTGCATTTTCCAATCATAGACATTAATATATCCACGACATCTTTTCTTTTTACGTGCCATGTCCTTTCAGGACGTAGGCAATCATGGCTCTCCACCCCCCTCTATCACTTGCAACTCTCAACAAGTTCCTTCCCTATGTTACTTCCCCTAGACCACGTTCTGTCAAGCACTTACTTAAGCCTGCTAGGCATGCCATGTATTGTTTTCCCTTGTCTCTCTTTCCCCTCTATTCGACCCGTGAGTATCAGCTTCACCAGGCTCTCCTTCTTCATTATATGTTCCAGAAACTTAAGCTGCCTCTTCCTGATGTTAAGTATAAGCCTCCTCCTTGTTTTTATCCTGTCTAAGACCTCATTGTTGCTCACATGCTCGGTCCATGTTATCTTTAGCATCCTTCTGTAGAACAACATCTCCGTCGCCTCGAATTTCTTCTTCATCTTTGAGAAAATCGTCCAACATTGGCTGCCATAAAGAAAGACAGATGTCACGTAACAGTTCAGTGTTCTTTTCTTTGTTATCCTCCTGTCTCGCGATACTCTACCCAGCTTTTGGAATGCGTCCTTGGCCATTTCAATACGTCTACGGACCTCAGTGTCGCACATACCGTCCTCTGTCAAAACGCTTACTAACACAATAATACACTGACAGAACAGAAGAACTGAAAGTAGGGAATTGCACCATATGGTTCTCGAAGAGATATCTTTTATACCGGTACATACATTTGTCCGACACAGATAAATTATAACATATGTATACAACAAGCAGTGTGAAAAGGGTGAAAAGAAAGAGGGATTTATTTGTAATATTTCTCAGCAGGAAAAATTATCGGTAATGTCCTTTATGTTTCTGGTGATACCATGTGGTTTCCTCTGTTCAGCCTACCGCTGTGGGCTTGTGACTTAAGTCTTCTCCGAAGCGTACACAATAAATGGCGTGTGCAGACAAGTCTTGCCACAAAGCGTGATAAATAGCAACTGGCGTTCGTCACTCTATGACTTGACGTCACTCACAGGCGGTTACGTGGCTCTTGTGACTTCATCTCAACAAAACCGATGTAATTGGCCTTTGAATATTTACAAGGCGATCTTTTCACGTGATGTTAAATGACAGTCAATTGATTAAGAAAGATGAAAAATTATACTAGTTGTTATGCAAATACAGTTGTAAAGAAAAAAGACATTAAATTAAATTAATGAATCGTTTGTAATACAGGCGCCATAAGCGAAACGGCGTTCTTGGGGAAATGTCCTGATGCAAAGGTCCCGTGGATGTTGTAACCATAAAGCAAATATTTTTTAAAATCGCCACCTAACGGCGTCTTGGGAAACCTGACAAAGGCAAGTAAATTTTTAGTCAGAAACTTTGGTTATAAATTTTACCTAATTATTTTTAAACTAAGATCTAACCACAACTTAAAATGCTTAAAGCACGTAACATTTTTACACGATTTTGCAATGTCGGGACATTTTTTTAAATATTATTTTACAAACTGCTTGAGACTTACTTAAAGGATTACTATTACGCTATGGGTCAAGGGGTGATATGAATGAAAGAGGAGGTGGTAAGAAGTGAAGATTATGAGGACAAGGAGGATAGATAACGTTTTAACACTGGCATGTTTTAAGAATAGTGTAACAACTATCCTAACCCCACCGGATCGATATACTCTACAAGACAGACCATTGGACCTGTCCTGGTCCAGTATTACAGGCTCTAGTTCACAATGTCGATTCAGTTCCACTTTCCAGCAACGTTGTGATTTTTTTAATCCTGGAGAGCAATTAACAAATCGTAGATCCCGGAAGATTCAGCTGGTCAACCTGCAAGTTTGTTGGGCCAAGCAAAAAAATCAAATATGAGCAAGTTGATTAGAGTTCAAAGAAAAAATTATGTATATGTATATGAGGAAGAAATTGTTAGGAAAAGAATAATGCTACTTTTACAAGAAAGTAGTATATATGAAATAAAGTTCAGAAAAAGAAAAAACAAATATTGTAAATAAGTCTGAAAAGAAGGAAGCAGTTTTCGGGCTCACCCTTTTTGTTCTTAGTAATTGCCGTAATTATTTCACTATCAGGATGTAAGTGGGTAGTATTGCGCCAATATTGCAGATAACTTGAGTTCACTTCCTCCCTCATTACAGCAGCAAGCGGATGCTTTCACTCTCACTGCCTCTCTCCCTCTCTCTCTCTCTCTCTCTCTCTCTCTCTCGCTCTCTCTCTGGTCGACTGCTTGTCAACTAACTTCACCCAGCTCCAATGCCAACTTCAACTTCGACTGTTTGTTTTCGCACAAACACGCGCTTAAATAAACGCGGTGGTAGCGACAAAAACCCGGAGTGTCGGTAAACTTAGAATACAACCTGATTACTGATCTATCCTACTTCTTGATTAAATGAACAGTCTCTTCTATTCAGTTGGTATTCCGTAGTTTATATAAACACTTTTGTTTTGACATTTTATATTAATAATTCTGACGAAGCACAGATTCTTTTGGTACAAACTTCACCACAGAATATTTTTCTCATCTATAATCAAAATTCTATATTACTATAATTATTAATATTTCAAGGGTGACCATTGCTCTCTGCCACAATAGCAGCAGAGCGATTTAAATTAAGTTCCACCAATATAAGGCTCGAAAGTCACTGAAAGTAGAGCGTTACTGTTAAAATGGTTCTGATGGAGGAGATTTGTGATATGAATACAAGAGACGGTGATAGGAAGTGAAAATGATATGCATAAGCAGGATATAAAACGATTGAGCCATAACGTGAAAAGGTCAAGATTTAAGTGTTCGGGGATGAATCCACATAAGAATTTGTTCTAGAAAGTGGCAGTTTGTTTGGGGAAAATGCTCTTGGAAAAGATCTAAATTCTTAGAATGGATTTATACTTTATAAAACTACTTTGTCGTGGATTCAATTAAATCTGTAGACGTATCGACTCAAAGCTTATTTTTTTGTTTTCCATAACAGGCGATGTTATTATAAAAAAAATCTAGATTTAACAAACTACTCTTGTATGTAGTTTTTCCTAAATTCATCTGCCCTGCAATCACAACTCTGACACAATCATTCTCCAGTCGTGATTCCAGTCAAAATTCCAACATATATTTAAAAACTTTTATTTGAACGATTTTAATCATTTCTCCTCAGATTGACAAAACAGAAACAACCTTCTATTCTCTATCAATCCCTCTAAGACTTTTCATGTAAAGTATATTCATATCTACCTAAGTATGTCCATATCTATCTAGTTAGTTAGCTACCAATCTAGTTGTCCATTTGTTCATTTCATATCTATCTATCTATCTATCTATCTATGTTCATATTTAAGTATATACATATCTATCTATGTTCATATTTAAGTATATACATATCTATCTATCTATCTATCTATCTATCTCTGCTCATATTTAAGTATGTTCATATATATCTCTCTTTATTTATCTATCTCTGTTCATATTTAAATATGTTCATATCTCTCTATCTTTCTATATGTCTCAATCTATTATCTATCTATATCTATATCGATATCTCAATCTGTTTATATCTATCTCTGTTCATATTTAAGTATATTTTCTCTCTCTCTATCTATCTATCTATCTATCTATCTATCTATCTATCTATCTCCCTTCATATTTAAATACGTTCATGTCTATCTCTCTCTATATCTCAATCCATATCTATCTATCTATCTATCTATCTATCTATCTATCTATCTATCTATCTATATATATATATATATATATATATATATATATATCGATATCTCAATCTGTTCTTATCTATCTATCTATCTATCTATCTATCTCAATCTGTTCATATCTATCTTCATATCTAAGTATGTTCAGTATCTATATATCTCTTTTCATATTCATCTAGCTATCTCACAATGGTACATGACGTCTACATAGGTTATTGTAATCTTCCTCTGAAGATTATTATGTGGGTGGGTTTACCACAAATATTGGCTGATTCGTCTTGGGAAATTATTTTAAAGATTGCAAATCAAAAGCTGATTAAAAGACAGAACCTTGTGCAGATACTTTTGAGGATGTATTTAAAATCTCAACAAACACACGGGAATGTGTGTATGTATGTGTGAGCGTGAATACATATAGATATTTATCCAGCTTCGTCCACTGAAGGAACAATGTGCAGAAAACAGATTTGAACTACTGTGTAGCGTCAATATTCCGAGAATAGTAGACTCAAAATGTTGGCTTTCATCTCGGTTCGAACATCAATCGCTGGCACCAGTAATTCACGATTTACTAAGCCCTCAAGCAGGCCCTGACTAACGATCCTAAATCTAGTTTGGTTCAAGACCTAGATACGTGTACTGAGGGTAGGAAAATTGTGTTATCGTCTAGTGGGGATCTACCTAATTCTACCACACGTTTTGATCTTATAAACGGTACCTGACAATATGCAAATGTAAAACATTTGTTCATGCTCTGCGAGACAATAAGCACCATGTGCAGTTGGCTCAAAAATCTGATACTCGACCCTCGAGGCAAAGTGAAGAGCCAAATTGTCAAAATCTCTATTTGAAGTATGGATGGTCAATATAATCTGGGTTGTGCATTAATTCCTGTAAATACTGAGGTAAACCCAGCTGATGCTCTAACAAGACTTTACCGTTGTGACAAGAATGATTAAATTTCGCCTCAGCGGGGCGTTCTGTTCGAAAGTTAAATAAAATACAAAACTTTCAATGTTCGTTATTCTCCGGCGATGTTGCTGGTATCCACTTTCATGAAAATTTACCGTAATTTATCTTGCCTGATTTTTTTTTCCAGCGTATGACAATTTCTCCGTCTCTGCTTCTGAACTTTTTGGTCCTCGTAACTAGCATGACATTTTTGTGCATTACAAACACAACGGACACTGGCTATTATATATATATATATATATATATATATATATATATATATATATATATATATATATATATATTATATGTTAAGAAATGGACAAGGTCCGACAATTTATTTATTAAAGACATTTTTTATTTTTTATGTTTAACGTTGTTATTTTATAGATACAAGTATTTAAGCAAATGCTCTGTTTATGATAAACAGTATTAAATAACATTTACCGGCCTGAATGTCCGAGAAATTTTTCATAGAAAATATCCTGTCAAAGAACGAATATTTTCTATGAAAATTTTTCAGGCCGGTAAATGTTATTTAATACTGTCATAAAACAGAGCATTTGCTTAAATACTTTATCTATAAAATAACAACGTTAAACATAAAAATGTCTTTAATAAATATATATATATATACATATATATATATAATAGCCATCTTCAAGCCAATTTTTGGGGGGATGGAACAGAGCTTAGTACTTTAATTCAATTTAATTAAAATAATTATATTGAAGTTTTCGGCTCTTGTTTTGAAACATGAGAAATCTTATGTAGCGTTGGAATCATATTTTTAAATAAATAATTATATTTAGGCTCTACTTTTGTATCGAGCACTATTTTTTAAAAATAATAACAAAAATACTAAAGAACTTTGGATTATTTACCTAATGAGTTCTTTCCTATTTTCTATATATTTTTACTCACACACACACACACACACACACACACACACACACATATATATATATATATATATATATATATATATATATATATATTCCATACCTTTTATCAGTAAATGTTCTATAGACTAAATATCATTAAAAAACGGCAGACGTTTTGTGTCGATTAATTTTAATGATCGAAATTTCCAAATTATAAATAATCTTTCTAAGACAAGGAGAAAATTCCGTCAGAAATTGTCCGAACTTCATTTTCAAACAAAAGTACAAGAAATATGATCTAACCTTTCGACTTTCTTAATTCATCATCAGGATAGGTATAGACAATTGGTGAGTTTCGTAGAACTAGTAAGTATTGTGACGTGGGTAAATTGTGTCCCGACGTAATTATATGTGTTGATAATTTTATGTATATACATTTTGTATGTATATACATTTAATGATGCGTGCTCTGAAGTTATAATTGTTTTATTTATTGATGGCTTCTTTTTGTTGTATGGGTATTGCTTCAAGGATCATAAATCTGTTATTACTATATTTGCTGTTTTCCAGAAAATGTAAATAAATCTAAAACGTCTGTGTAACTAATCGGTATTTGCTTGAGTGATTTATTTTTTTGACTTATCAACCCTAGGCAGGTTATTTAAAGCCAGAGCATATTTTTAGAATGTAAGAATCTATAATGTGGATATAAAGTGGGGGATCAATTCTACACTACAATCAATATATAAATTGATCCCTCAGTTTGTGGCCACGGTAGTATCTAAAAACATTCTTGAGAATGTAAATTAATCTACAAGACATACTTGTGTAGCTAATCAATGTAGCTTTATCGATTGACTGATACATTTTTATGCTTTGCAGGTTATTTAAAACAAGAAAATATTTTTAGATTCTAAGAATCTTTTTTTTTCAGATAATAATGATTTAGTGATAAAAGACTTACATATTAACCCATAGCTGAGTGGGGAAGACGTGGTACTTTTCCCAAGATTATTTACACATAATGAGCCCAACTAGAATTGAAATTCAGTGATGTTTCTTCAGGATTTCACTATTCAGGGCTCTACTCAACTTCCCATCTTTTGTGGCTGTAAGCAACGTTTGATTCTTTTCTTTCATTCCAAATCCCTTTTCTACCGTTCATTCACAAAAGCTAATTAGATAAATTACTCGATGTTTACGCCTCTTGCCTTCAGTATATCCTGTGAGTGTCAAATTCTTCAAGTCCACTTTTCTCATTATGTGTGTTAGAAACTTCAGCTATCATTTTCTGGATTGTAAATGCTCTTTTCCTTCCAATTTCCTTTAACCTTTCTTCGTTGATCCCACCTTCCGTCTATCGTGTTCTCTGAATCCTTCTGTAGAACCACGTTTTTGTTGCTTTGCATCTTTTTTCATTTGTAAGAAAATTGTCTAAAGAACGAGACAGACAAACTCAAACTTGAGGGCATCATATAAATACTTGGTTACACCCTCAGTCGGAGAACCTCTGACCAGACTGGGTTACCCACCCTGGAAATATTTTTATCTGGGCCCCGCCTACAAGGTTATGGGCTGAGCTTTTTGAAAACCTGCGAGTATATTGCACAGATTTGTAAGGTTTGTGGTGTAATGAGAATTCGGAGTTCGAATTCCAGTCTGGTTCGTTACATTCACTTACGTATTAATACTACTGGGAAAGGTATGAATCCATTCCTTCTCCTCCAAGGAATGGGTTGAATAGCAGGGCAAACTCGGTACTTGGGTGGCAACCAGTCTACCACAGAAAGAAACAGTAATCTACTGCGGGAAAATCTGCTGTCTAGTCTGTCATGAACCGAGAGAGCCCTGATCCCCCAAGTGCTCATGTACAGCACTTCACTAACTGACTAATACCTTAATGAAACTGCATGACTTGACGGGTATTTGGGGCCTTGTATATCTGTACCCCAGGGTCGCTTTGTTGGCGTGTTACTTTCTTGCGCAATAATAATACGCAGAATAAGAAATTAGGCTGCAGTATTTAGCTGCTTAGACGTCTAAAATATCCTACCAAAACCACCCTGCGTCCTATAAATCGAAGGTCGATGACGGAAGTTACCTTCTCTTCTAATTATTATTTCTTTGATATAATTCCCCATCCTCTCCTTCGTTATGTGGTCAGTGATGTCAGTTCTCTGGTGGATATGGGCGCCTTTTGTTCCAGGTGTGTTTTTCGAATTTGTTATTGTGTCTGAATGAGTGCGGTTTTGTGTTAGGGCTTTGGATAAATGAACGTTTTATACCATTATAGTCCCACATTGATTTCGTCCAGTTAACTGATGTTTCTGCCACATTTACTGAATGGGGAGTTATTACTAACATTTTGTTTAGTTTCATGTCGATAGATTTGTATTCATATTGTAATACTCATTTTTAAATTCTTGTTTTATTCCCCTCCCCCACAGACAATGAATTGTACATAGGTGGTTTAGTCGGGACTTTCATGGAGACATTGAGGTATTATGATGGATGTAGTAAGAAAAGCAAGTAAGAATGTGCTGTTTTGGTGTAAGGAATATCGTTGTATGTTTGACTCAATGTTTGTGGGTAGCTAAGTTTAAAGTTAAGAAAGAAGAAGACCGTCCTTTTCCCCATTCCCCAATTTGGCCTTGTGCCACATTTTCTGTAAATATCTCTTATTACATTCGAAAGAGTTACCATAAATATGGTATATTTTTCTCGGTCTGTGTTGAATTTGTCATGATTAGGAAGGTTTGTTTTATGATGAAATATTCTATTCAGTGGTTATAATTGGGGATAATGATAAGGCTATAAAATACCAGGAAAAAAATCATCTTTCCGATTTCTTCCTTCAAAATCTTGTGGAGGCGTCTAATACATCGGGGCGTCTTATAAGCAGAGGTAAGTATAAGTACTGATAGTCTATAATTTCTGGGTCAACTTTAGTCTACTATCATGGTCATCTCTTAAGTTCTGTCCGAATTTTAACTTTTTGTTAAAATGAACGGAATTTAAAGAGTATTTTATAATGTCTAATGGAGCTGAACATTATTTTTATATTTAGATGCATTTAAACTGATCAAATTTTATTTCAGAGAAGAATAAAATTAAATTTTGTTTGATTAAAACCCTGCTAACATGGAAGTACACAAGAATCATTTGAGGCACATAATGCTTTATGAGTTCAAGAAAGGAAACTCAGCAGCCGAAGCGGCTAGAAACATTCACTCAGTTTATGGAGAGGAATGTGTGAATGAAAGAACTTGCAGAAGATGGTTTGCAAAATTCAGAGGTGGAGATTTCACCCTTGAAGATGAAGATCGAACCGGACGTCCAGTTGAGTTTGATGAAAAGCTTCTTGAAGCAGCCCTTGAAGAAAATCCTGCTTTATCAGTTGAGGAATTGGCAGTGATTCTCAGTTCAAACCATACAACTGTTCATCGTCATCTTCAACAACTTGGAAAAGTTCCTAAACTTGGAAAATGGGTGCCTCATGAATTGTCTGAAAACAACCTCAAATCCCGAATTGACATCTGCTTTTCTCTCCATTCTTGCCAACTTGTTTCACCTTTTTTGGATAGACTTGTGACTGGCGACGAAAAATGGATCTTTTATCGAAATGTTAAGCGTCATAGACAGTGGCTTGGTAAAGGGGAAGGACCCCAGCCACAGCCGAGAAGGAAACTTCATGGGCAAAAGGTTCCTCTTTCAATCTGGTGGGATCGCCAAGGAATAATCCACTTTGAATTCTTATCACCTAATGCAACAATTAATGCTCAAATATACTGTCAGCAATTAGAGCTTTTGAACCAAGCTTTGAGGAAAAAAAGACATGCTCTTGTGAATCGAAAAGAGGTAATGTTTCATAAGAACAATGCGCGACACTACAAAGCAAGAATCACGTCGCAAAAGATCGAAGAACTTGGTTGGGAGAAAATTCCTCATCCACCTTATTCTCCCGATCTTGCTCCTTCAGACTACCATTTGTTTCGTAGCTTACAGAAGCATTTGGAAGATGCAGCTTTTGTAACACAAGAAGAGGTTAAAACTGACATTTGTGAGTTCTTCGAATCAAAGCCAAAAGAATTTTACAGTAATTGAATTAGTAAGCTTGTTAATAGATGGAAGGAAGTCATAGATAATCAGGGAAAATACATTGTTGATTGAATCTGTAATTAATTGTAACATTTGGTCACTTGTTTTCTTTATTCAAAATTTGGACAGAACTTATGGGATGACCTGATAGTAAGCTTGTTAATAGATGGAAGGAAGTCATAGATAATCAGGGAAAATACATTGTTGATTGAATCTGTAATTAATTGTAACATTTAGTCACTTGTTTTCTTTATTCAAAATTCGGACAGAACTTATGGGATGACCTGATAGATTCCTCCATTTCCCATATAGAACACGGTGTACATTTTTAGATGGAGAAAATAGGTTGTTTAATATCATTAATAAGGTACACTGAGTTCTTGCACACTATTCGACTTCTTCGAACTTTTAGATTGCACGTTGTTTCGAATTGTGCATTTATGGCTTAGAACAGGTATCTATCCATATTCATGTTGTCACCTACCATCTTTTTCACCTGTCATCCACTTCTTTGCCTAGCACCCTTCAGCAACTTTTTCCTTCGCCATCCTCACACCGTTTCCTACATTATCTATCTTTTATCTAGACGAGATTTTCGCACCCATTCGTATCTCACCAAAGACATTTGGGTGTTTGCCTCTCTTTCTTTCTCAATCTCCCTTCCACAGATTAAAAAGCAGAAGATCTATGAGGCATTCTTTAACGTGTCAGACACGAGAGCAGGTGCTATCAGCGTTGCCTCATCTTGGAAAGAACGAGTGAAAAAAGCGTGAAAACATTTTTTTAAATTCTTGTGATGTTATATATATACTTTCTTTCAGTCGCACAAAACAAGACAAATCACTCGTTTGTTTTGTGTTGACTCAAAAAAAAATATTTCAGAAACCGAATACCAACAGAATAAAATACAATTTAAATGAAGAACGAAGACTATGTGAGAAGACTTCTGAAACAATTACTGTTGCAACTGAAATCAAATCGAAAAATCAAGATAAGGTGCATGTATGTCTTCATAATCTTCGTCTCAAATTCCTGGTATTCAAACCCTGACTACGAGTACTGACACAACTGTGTCAGTCACAATGCAAACCTAATGTTTCAAGACTCCTTTGCAATGTACCGGGTGTAAGAGGAACATTGTCCAGTTGTTAGATTAAAGCTTTGAACAGTTGTATCTTAGAAATGATTAAAGATATCTTACTGGAATTCTCCGAGGTTGGGTGTTTTCCTCTGAAGATTAGATTCGAATAGTTTTATAAAACACTATTAGACTCTACTTTGAACACTAAAATTGTATTTAGCTCTAAGTTGAAATGATGATCCCCTTCCTGTTGTGACCTCCTGATTCAGTTTTCAACTCTACTTTCCTCTTCCTCCTTTTAAAGTTTATTCACCGTTCTCTTGATGGTTCTTGAATAGACTTTGAATCGTGATGAAATCGATCATAAATGAAAATAAATTGTTCACAATTAATTATTCATAGCTAAGGATCAGAAGCTCATGAATGATTGAAATAAATTTATATAAATATATATATATATATATATATATATATATATATATATATATATTACAGGATCATTTATCAACTTATTCAAAATGACCTACGCCCTCTCTAATCTTCTAACTTTCTGTCCTGGAGTAACAAGATATTTCACAAATTTCACGTAGGATTTCATTTTCAAGTTTTTAAACTGCTCTTTGGACTGTCATAGCTGAAAATCCTCACTCGCGTGCCAACTGTCTCGTCGATTGAGTTGAATCTTTTCTAATTGATCTCTTTATCTCTAAGTTGAAATGATAATCCCTCTTGCTGCGACCTCCTAATCCAGTTTTCCTCTTTACTTTTCGCTCTTTTATAAACTTATTCACCGTTCTCTTGATGGTTTTTGAATAGACTTTGAAGATGGAAGCCAGAGTATGAATGTTGGTATCATTACTGAAGGCTTGAATGATTTTTTGTCTCACCATTTCTCAGGTGGGCAGTCATAGTGGCGCTGACATAAAATGATTTTAACCTGTTCTCTTTCTAGCTGAATGATTCAAAGCATTTTTCAGTGGTTCGTACGACAAACGGTGTCAAGATGGCTAAACGCCTTATCTGAAAACCTGGAAAAATGAAACTCAATTAGTTTAGTGGTTTTATAGATATTAAACATTTTGTGGGAAGAAATTTATTTGTATCAAATTATATGATTACATCTACAGCTGACAATCCAGAAAAATTAATTAATAATATCTGAACTTTAATATTACACACAAGTTACGGTTACTGTTGAGGAGGCACGGTGGTGTAATGGATAACGGCTCAGATTGAGAAATCTGTGAGCCGAGATCGAATTCCAGTCGAATCCGTTACATTCATTTACGTGCTAATTCCTTTGGGAAAAGTATGAATCCTCTTCTTCTCCCAGCAACTAGCCTACCGTAGAAAGAAATGGCAACCTACTGCAGGAAAAAATCTTTCTCATCAGTCATCTATCGAAAGATACATAATCGCCTAAGCGTGTATCAAGCATGGCACATAACTGACTGTTATTAAAACAGATCATTTTACCTCAAGCAGGGCAATAATGCCACTAAGACGCAATTGTTACCGGGATTGAAAGAAGATGAGAGTACTTTAGCGAGAAGAAAGGATAATAAAAGAACAAAATTAAGGACAATAGGATAACAATTGATGTTGCATTTTAATTTTTGAAGATTGTAGGCGCCAGGGAAGCAGTAAATCGAAAGAGAGTACCATAGGTTACATCGAGCTATTTCAAAAGTAAAACGAGTAGACTTAGTAGCCAATCTAGTAGAACACTCTCTCACAGACGCGTCGTCGCCTCTCTCTGTCTTTTCTACAAATACTTTCATGGTAATTGCTCCGATGAGCTGCTTTCACTGGTTCCCAGACTCCATGAATTCAAGCGCCCTACGAGGCTGGCATCGCGCTCCCACCCTTACACTATAGAAATTTTTAAATGTAGCCGTCTCTTCTACTCCAATAGCTTCATACCTCGCACCTCTCGCCTGTGAAACACCCTTCCCAATTACTGTTTCCCTGAGAGCTATAATCTCCAACTATTCAAATGTAAAGTCAATCGACATCTCCAGTTACCTTGATATATCCACTATCCTTCTCCTCATCCTTCCTTCTATCTCTCCTATCTGGTCTTGCTCCAAATCTTCTGCAACCCCCTGCATCCTAGTGGCTTCACGCCTTGCTCGGGGCGTAATGCTTAAAAAAAAAAAACACTTTAATTCATGTGGTCGAGGAAAGTAATGAGAATGAAATGTCGCAAAACATTTAATGTCGTGACTTGCGCCTGCTTCAAAATAAGCTGGTGTATTTTCGGCTATTAATAAAAAGAAAGTCAATTCAAAGGTTATTATCATCAGTCGTTAGAAATATAGCCCTATTCTGTTTTTGGTAACTATAGATTGATAGAAACACAAATATTGTTTTAATCATCTGACCCAAGCAAGGCGGTAATGCCACTAAAACGCAAGGGGTTACTTAGAATGAAAGAGAATGAGAAGATTTAATGAGGAGAAAGTACAATAAAAAAATAACTTATAAACTACGAGGGTGAATCAAAAAGTAATTCAGTTTGTTTTATTATATCCTAGCTTAAAGGCTTCACTCTGTGTGGACTTCTGTGTAGGGCTAATTGAACCTCCGGCCCCAAATTAAAGGGACCCCTGGTTCAACTTAGAAAACAACAATGATAATTTTGAAGAAATAACTTTGAATTACTTAATTCACTCCGTGGAACTTCAAAACCTCACTAACTCTGATTTGGGCTATAAATCAAATTCCGGCGTAAAGATAGATTTGGGCCGAAACTCGGATGTGGGCCGAATTCAGGCCGAAAATTGAGTTCTTCAAATCACCAACACTACAGAACTTCAATTGAGTTGAGTTCTTCAAATTACAAACTCTGCGGAACCTGAAAACCTTGCATCACGAAACCTCTTACTTTAACTCTGATTTCTTGGCATTTTGAAGAAATGAAATTGATTTCCTCAATTCACAAAATTTTGGAGATATTTTAAACTGAATTTAAAACGAACATTTTAAATTCACAAAGCTTTTGTATTATTTTAAAACTCAATATGAATTAAAAACTTTTAAACTCATTCATTTTTTTCAGTTATTTTAAAATCTGTTCCAACTTCATATGTTTATGTAGAGCAAGCGTGGTCGGAGTTAGAGGATTTTTAGACAAACACATACACACGGACAATGGACTGTCAGAAAATGCCGTTTATTTATTTAGATAGAAGAAATAAGGGAGACAATAAAACGTCAAGATATAGCTTGACATCACTGGTTCACATTCCTACTTCACAATATACAGGGTGTGATGGCTAAATTGTCGTCTAAATTACGTAAAAATGAAAATAACATTGATATCTCATTTTAACATACATTTACCAAAATTAGACAAAAATATCTTGAAATACTAAAGAGTAAATTTATTCAATAAAATCGCCACTGGCTTAAACCACAGCCTGCAGACGACTTCGAAATCACCTGCAAAACTTCTGGGCGGTCTCCTTGTTTAAGATTCAGCATGGAGGATGAATGGTGCCATCATACTTGCCTTCAGTTCATCTTTGGTGTTACAGGAGTTTTGTTGATCTCTCGCTCAACTGCACCCCACACATAATAATCAAGAGAGTTTTTAGTAAGACGAGATAGGTGGCCAGATATAAAGGGTAATGTGGTGGCAGAAATTGTCTGACAGCCATTACTGGGTCCTCCTGCTTGTGTGGTATGGTGCAGAGTGTTATTGACAGACATAGTGTATTACAGCAGCAGACTCTTGACCTAAGGCAACACTGCCTCCTCAAGTCCTCCATGTTGAGTCTGGGGCTATGTGGGAAGATGAATGGAGGCATAATCATTAGTGGTCAATCCAAACACCATTAAACTCATACAGGTCTTTCCGAATCTTCTGCTCTTCTGCTCAAATTGACACCCCAAAACTCGGTTTGGTGATTCCGGGACGAATGCTAAGTAGTACAGCATGCCGTTTCCAAACTTACCCCGGAGTGATTTCCGTCATGGTGCTCTTTTTTTTTTTCACAGTGCCTAACTGACCCTAATATACTGTGCAGTCGACAAAATCAAGAACAACGCGCATGCGCGAAATTAAAAATATAAAATAAACTCAATTTACCCATTGCACCCTGTAGACGTTACTCTTTCAACGGCAGTGTTCGATCTACGAATGAGGACTTGGATCTCAGCTTCTTTTCTTTTTCTTCAGCTTTTTTCACTTCTTCACCACCATAACGTTTGAAGTACCTCTTTCATCGGAGCAAAGAGATGGAAGCCTGAAGGTGCTAAGTCTTGGGATGATGAAGAAGTGAAAACTGCTCTAAAGAATTGGCTAATTCAACAGCCAGCTAAGTTTTACGAAGCTGGGATAAATGCCCTTATTCGTAGGTACATCAATAAGGCACCTTTTTTTCTACCAAGAGAAATTGACCTGTGATGACCCCGTTATGTACGAGGCTCACCCAAGACGATATAAAAAAAAAAACTTTGCATTCAATGTTACTCCAGAATGTCAAAGAAGACAGGTGTATCAGCAGATCGACCAGGAAGATAACCTACTAGCAACCAGGTTCAGATCTACGCCTGTAGTGAACATCCTTTGCCTTTTTCCAACATGTAAACATATGGTCGACCCAGCTGCGTTTACGGTGTGTGACAATAGTGGATATATGTGCTTTATCAAATATAGAGAGTCTCACATTTTCGCAGGAAGAATCTACGTTCAGAGAAATCTTCCAAAGCCGCACCCCTTCTCGCGGATATTAACTGAAGATCAGTTTTGAATAAACAGTTACTTGATGGATGAGAGATTTCGTCTCGGCTTCTTATTAGTCTGTAAAACGATAACATATCGTACCCAGTGACTATTTGAGAAAATAGTTTTTTATAGCTGAAAACGATGCCCTATGCAACGATATTAACGTGCTCCGTCTTGAAGTGTCTATGGAAATAAACATAAAGCGTTACTTTCCAAATATTCATATATATATATATATATATATATATATATATATATATATATATATATATATATATATATATATATATATATATATATATATATAAGGGAAGAGGTTATAGTAGTACCAACGAGAGAAAAGTGTATATATTAAAACAGAGAGAAACCGCAAAATTTTTTGGTTGTAATGTGGATTTTTAAAAAAATATATTATGGTTTATTTTTCCATAATTTTGCTTCCGGTATTGCGACCTTGATCAGACAAAGAGTGGACATTTCTACATATTGTTAAAAGGAATTATATATATATATATATATATATATATATATATATATATATATATATAATTTGGTCATCACGTTTTAAGTTCTCTTTCTCTTTATATTTTACAATATTTGCTTCTTTCTTTGTCCACTTTCAAGCTTCCTCTATCTCCCACGACACTTCCATTTTTTTCTCTGTCCTGTCACCTGTAAATTCTCTTCATAGAAACCGAATCCACTTTCAAACAAATGATCGCGCTGGACAATTATATTTTTTCCCCTTCTCAACCCTGGTATCCCTCAACATCTTTCACTATGTCCTTCCACGGCATCACCGTTCGTATTTCCACGGGCTAAGTGTCTTCCTGTGTACTTAAGCTGTTAAAAACACGAATCCTTTCATTACTGTGAACGTAACTTCATCAAAAGCCAGATCCAGAGCTTTTGAGTCTCAAGCGCTAGCAAGCGACATATCCAAGCGGAAGTTTATCTCTCTGTCATCTCCCTTGGACTGTTCGACCACTTTTAACCAGACTGTTTTCAAGAGGCTTTTGTTCGTTGAGGACTTTTTATTTCGGCTTCAGAAGGCAATGAAATCTCTTCGGACATTTTTTTCCTTCCCCTTTAGTTATTAATTAGACATCTTTAAAAGAGTCCTGCATTTAGCTAAGCAGATATTTGAAACCCGTTTTGAATTGACGACTTCGTTCCTTGGTTTTTCTTTTTTGCTTTCTCGATCAATGTGTATTTTCCTTTCTTTTTCAGCTATGATTTTCTTCTTTCTTGTCTTCTTTGTTTATTTCTACCTTGATTTCTTCGCTTTTTTTTTTTACATTTTGAGACTTGTTTCTTTTCTTTCTTTTCTTCTTTATGGATGATTCTAGATTTTTTCAGATTTTGTTTGTGTCGTGTATTTTCTTTATTCGTTTCCTTCTTTCCATTTCGTTTTTTGTTATATTTCTGAACAATTTTATATTTATCTTGCGGTTGTTACAATGTCTGAGCTACTTAAAAACTTTTTTTATTTATTTCTTTTTATTATTTTTTTTTATTTCACTTCTCCCTTTTTATCTCTTTGTGTATATTTTCTACTCGCTCTCCTTCTCTCTCTCTCTCTCTTAGTCTTTTTCTTTTCATTTCTCTCTTTTCTTCTCTTTATTTGCTTTTTTTTCTTTTATCTCTGTTTTCTCTTACTTTTCTCTGTAATTTTCTTTCCTATCTTTAATTTCTTTTTCCTTTCCCAAAAGTTTCATTACCTTTATCTCCGCTATTTTTTCTTGCTTTACTTCTAATATATTTTCTTTAGTCTTTTTATTTTCTCTTTTTTTCTTTCATTCATTTCTGTTCTTTTTTTTTTTTTTTAAAGCTTCATTCTCTTTCTTTCTTCAGTTCTCTTCCCCTCTTCTTTCTCTTTTTTTCTTCTTCTTCGCCCTGTTTTCTTTCCTCTCTTTTCTGTATTGTATTTCATTTCTTTCTTTTCTCTTTTTCTTTTACTCCTTATCTTATTTTATTTTTACCTCTTCAATCTCCTATTCCATTTATTCTTTCCTCCCTACCAATTATAGTTTTTTTTTTTTCCTTTCACGTTTCCTTCATTTTTCATTCTTTCTTTCTTCATCTTTACTTCCCCTTATCCTATTTTCTTCTTCTGTTCTTTCCTTTTATTCATGTCCCTCTTTCAAGTTCTCTATTTTATGTTGGCGTCATATCTCTCCAAGAAAGCAGTTCCTGGTTTTTCACTAA